CACCGTGTGTCTCAGCGAGCCGTGCGGAAGGGTCTGCGGCCGACACTCCCTCCTGATCTCAAGCGAGCCCCGGGGGTGCCGGGCTGAAGTGGAGGGTAACTAGAGAGATTTTATTATAGCAAAGCGCCAGTTCTGCCTAGCGCACAGATCTCCTGCCTGCTCTACAATCCCCCCGTGACTTGGCGCCTTGACACTGTGTGTGCCTCATGGGGGGGGGGCACGGGGCCATTTGGACAAGGGGTTCCTGAGATCCCCTCCTCCCCCTAAAAAACCCCCGACCAGCTACAGTTGCGATGCTTGGCACACAGCCAGAGCTTGAACCAGGCGGAGATCACCGCACCCGGGATTTTGATGGTTGAGAGTTATCCCAGCAGAGTCCAGGGCATCCCCCAGCCCTTTGGGGAGAGCAAATTACCGCTTGATGAACCAGTTTGATTCTAGGTAGTCCCGCTGCTAAGCACGTGTGAGACTCACACGCAAGGCAGGTCACACTGTGCCTGGGCAGGGAGAGAGGCCAAGGAGCTTGAAAGCTAGTTATGATCCAAGGGGGAACGGTCCAGCCATTGAACCACAGCGGGCACCATGAATTCATGGAGGACAGGTCCATCAATGGCTATTAGCCAGGATGGGCAGGGATGGTGTCCCTAGCTCTGTTTGCCTGAAGCTGGGAATGGGCGACAGGGGATGGATCACTTGATGATTCCCTGTTCTGTTCATTCCCTCTGGGGTACATGGGCTGCCAGACCCTCTGCTCTTAGCCCGCTCCCGGGGGCATTTTGCTTCGGTGGTTGCTGACCCGGGGCTGCAGCAGCGGGACCCTCTCCCCGAGCCTGGCGGCTCCCGGCGGGGCAGCCCGTCCCCTCGCTGCTCCCTCTGCCCGCCAGCCGGGTTCGCTCCTAGCCCGCTCCCCGGGGGACTCTGGCTAGACCCAGTGTGGCTGTTCCTACGTTCTTATAAATTCCAATCCAACCCTTGGTGGGAAAGCTGGATCTCAAAATAGGAGGCATCTTGCTCTAATCTGCCTCTCTCCAAGGATTGATTGATTGATTGGAAACAAAGTCCAAATACAGCAGAATATTCAGAAGGTGCTGACCCTGTCTTTGAAATGACAATGGATTACACATGCTGGGAGGGGAGGGTGATAAGGAAGGAAGTGTGTCTGGGAATGGGGCAGAGGGGGTTTGAGGTGCAGCAAGAGGAGGGGTGATTAATGGGGAGCGGATAAATGGGGTGAGTGGGTAGGAGAGAGGTTGGGGGCTAGGTGAGGTGGGACACTGAGAAGGGAGGTGTGGGGGAGAGGGCTGGGGACTGTGGGAGAATAGGGGCAGGGGTGCCTTTCAGCCCCACGTTCCTCTCCTGTGTGTGTGCCGGGATCTGGGAGCTGGAAGGCCTTGGCCTCTCCTTGGGGGATCTGAGCCTGTTTCCCTAAAACTTCCCATGTGTGACTGTCCCTTCTGTGAGTGCCAGGATCTGGGGAGGGCCCTGACCATCTCTGGGATTCTGACGCCACCCTCCCTGCCCTCCAGCCTCATGAAAGCCAGGTTCGGGGGGGGGGCATTGCTTTTGAGGAAGGGTCCTTACGCCCCCTCCCGTCCCAATGATCCTCTCTCTACACCCTCATGTGAGCTTGGCTCTGTGGCTCCCTGTCCCTCTGGGGGTGCCTGAGCACCCCTGTGAGCCAGGATCTGGGGAAATCCTACCACTGTGGGTGTGGAGTGGAGAACAGACATACTGAGAGCATACACCAGGAACACACCGCTGACACCAGCGTGAGGAGCTGAGTACAGGCACACTTGGTGCATATCCCAGGCTCTCCAGCAGGGGGGTAAGAATATCAAGTTCAGCAAATCTCAAACATGATAAAGCCAGGAAATACAGGGAGGTGCCCAGGTAGATGTAATTCCGCCCTCTGAGTGATATCATGGACAAGCGCTACCTCCACTTGCCCAGTGATCAAACACTAAGCATAATCCCTGCAGAATCCTGCACGTGTGAAGTGTCACAACCACTTCACACTCACTCACTGGATACCGTCTAAACCTAGACCCTTCCTTACCCGCCCTTCAGCCCCCAGACTGCTCTGGCATCCCACCGCACTGCTGCCAATCCCCATGGCAAGACCCCCCAGTGCCTTGCTACTGAGACAACCTACACAAGTTTGCAATAAAATGAGGCAGACTGGATCCTCAAGGTACAATGTTTCCTGCTCCTTTATGGGGTGGGGGCAAACCCCGATTTCCTCATAGCCCATTCACAGCTCAGGCCTTAGTCTGAGGAATGTGAGTCTCCTCATTTTATAATCCCCTCTCCCAACCTGCCCCACCATTCAGTACAGCGACAAGTCCCACAGTGAGTGCAGCTGCTGTACGTGCAGATAATCCCAGTGCCTATTGCCTGTTCCAGGGGGCAGAGATGATGGGCATGGACCGTAACTCTCGAATTCCCAGTTTTCTGATGCTTGAGTTCTGCTGATGCCCACGTTCTGGAAGGGAACGAGCTGTCACTGGGAAGCCTTACCTCTGCCTTCATGAAGTCTTTGCTGTTTAATTTATTTCAGATTCTGCCCATGGTTGGAACTGAATTCACACTGGGGGGGGACAGTCTCTCAGAGCCACACAAATCCTGTCAATCCCAACTGCCTTTCACCCCTCGGGATCTTTCTGTGCATGCTCAGTGTAATCCAGGGGTTCTCAAACTGGGGGGCGTGAGGTTATTGTGTGTGTGGGGGGTCACGAGCTGTCAGCCTCCACCCCCAAACCCTGCTTCACCTCCAGCAATTATAAGTGTTAAATATATAAAAAAAAGTGGTTTTTAATGTAATAAGGGGGTCGCACTTGGAGGCTTGCTGTGTGGAAGGGGTCAAAAGTTTGAGAACCGCTGGTGTAATCCATTTGGTGCTTGAGCTGAAGGCACAAACCTAACCGGAGAAGCACACGCTTTTGCTTCTAGTGTTCCCAATTTTGCTCTGGCTGGTGGGGCTGCAAGGGTAGCGGCTGGTGGGGCTGCAGGGGTAGCGGCTGGTGGGGCTGCAGGGGTAGCGGCTGCCCCTGTCCCAGGCTGGGTAGGGGGAAGGGAGGGACAGGGACCCTGGGCTGGAAGCGCTGGGAATGAATTCTCAGCCAATCAGATTGTGGGGTGCGACACCAGGAGCATGGGCGAGGATATGAAGCCAGAGAGCTGGGTGGGGAATGGAGGGGCAGCAGCTCAGGAGCCCATTGGCGTGGCATTGGGACGGGGTGCTTGGGAGAGACCCCACTGGCCACAATCCCGTAAGTGGGAACTGGATGAACATGAGTGAATGTCACCACATGCCTGAGGGATCCCAGCAGGCCAGGGCCAAGGACTGAAGTGAGATCCCTCCAGCTGGTCCCTCCAGGGCCTGGTGAGGGGATATAAGGGGGATCATGATACAGGGACCTCACAACCCGTTCTAAACAATAGAGGCAATGTCTTGACTGACAGGTCTGGGAGGAACTGTCCGGGCTCCCCTCGGAGAGACGCTCGCCACGGTCACACAATCTGCACGGGGCCAGGAGGCAACCAGCCCTGCGAACCAGCTGCCCAGCTCCCCCAGAGGGGCCTGATCCCAGCCCAGCGCTCGCCCGGAGCCCAGATGGAGCCAGCCGCTTCTCCCTCTACTGAGGCACCGCAGCCCACAGGGCATCTTCATGGCAGCGATGGGCCTGGCACAGCCCCAGGTACCGCCGCTTCTCTGCCCGGGACGGGGATGGGGATGGGGAGAGGCTAAACACTGACCCGGCAGCTGACTGGTCCCTGTGCAGATCCCCCAATTGGGATCTGCTGCAGCTGCTATTTGGGGGACAGGGAAGGGGCCCTACAGCCAGGCAGGGGGCACAGCTGTGTGTGCAATGGGGGCAGGGAGGGTTGTGGGACCTGGGGGGGGGGGTGGGATGTGGGATTTCACAGCAGCTGTAACTAGTGGACTGACATGGTTCAATTGACTTTTTTTTTTAGGGAAAATTGGGTGTTTGATTAAAGGCAACTTTTTGTGGAAAGTGTCGGCTTTAATAGAAAACATTCACTGTTTTCTTGGAAAATTCAAACCCCCCAAATTGTTCGGCTTTCAATAATTCTGGACTAATTTGGCGCGTTTGGCCATTTTTGTTGAAGTTTTTCTTGTTCTAGCCCTCCTGGATGGGGAGAAAAGCTTGAAACAGTGACCCCTAAAGGTTCCACCACCACAAGATCAAGAACAGAACCCAAAGTTGTTTTCAGAATCTCACCATGTTTAAACCAATCTCATGGTTTTGGGGACTCTGACTTGTGATTTTTGGTCACTGGGGGTTGGCCTTCCCCGAACACACCCACAGACACCCCCGCAATGGGGGTCCAGAGCTAGGAGCGGGGCAGGGGGACCCCTGGGCACCGACTCCTCACCGCACTCTCCTCTCGCTGGTCTCTCTCTCCAGATTCAGCCAGCCGGAGCCGGGGGGCAGCTCCTCCTGCCCCACAAGGACCCCTTGCTGCAGCTGTCATGAGTAAGTGTCGGGGAGCGAACCCCTCTGCCAGGGCTCTCCCAGGCCGGGATCTCGGTGTCTGGGGTTGGGGAGATTTGCTGGGGGGTGTCTCTGTTCTGCGCTCTCACAGCCCCGCTCTCCTCTCTGTTAAACCTGGGGTGGAATCCACCTTCCACCCCCCGCTGACCTGCCTGTGCCCCTCTCCTCTCTCTGCCAGGCCTCTGCCGCTACCTCTGCCTTCGCTTGGAGCTCTCGCCAGGGAGGGGCTGCTGCTGGCTCTGCTCTGAGCTCTGCCTGAGGATGGGGGAGCCGCGCTCGGCCCCTGGAGGGGTCAGGAACCGAAGGTAGAGAGAGCGTCTCGCAGGGTTTCCTATTTCACACCGATCTCTGCACCATCGCTGCACCCTTGCGCTGGGAGAGCTATCGAGGGCCTGACTGTGGGAGCTGCCTCCTCCGAGAATCAGCCCTGAGACGCCTGGAACTAGTTCATGGTTGAGATTGTCTAGCTCAGCATTTCTCAGACGGGGAGTCCTGGCCCAAGAGGGGGTTGCAAGGCTATTGCAGAGGGGTCACGAGATCACAAATATTCTCAGGGGAGGGGGGCCAGGAGGGTACAACAGCTGCCACTGTGAGGGAAGGATGATTAAATTCATGGAGGTAAATGGCAAAGGGGATGTAACCAAAGGTAGACAGGGTCTGACTAACCAGAGTTCCGTCTTTGAGACGAGAATTGTTCAGGGCTGGGTCTAGGTTTTTTGCTGCCCCAAACAAAAAAAATTTTGGCTGCCCCCCACCCCAGCCCTGCGTTCACCCCAGCCCTGCGTTCTCCCCCGCACTCCCCTGCTGCCCCAG